GGGGGGGGGGGGGATTTTTTTGTCCCAAATCGGCTGATCAGCGCGTGCCACATTGGCGCCATGTCATGTTATTCCCATCCCAATCCTTGTAAGTAAACGTAAGATATTTCTGACTATTTTACTTTATCCTATCCCGTCCCGCGAAGTAAACGCCCCCTCAATATTACCAATATAATCAAATAATGTTAATCAATCGTTTTTATACGTACTATCATATTAAATTCACTATTCATCCACTAATATAATTTCAATTAACTATCACTTCACTTTGTCTCTATTCTACTTTTACATTAAATCAACATTAATTATTTTATTTAAATATTATTTAAATATAAACTCAAAACTCCACTAGCAAATAATCATATTATTCTTGTTTTTCAAAATCTACTATGGCTAACAAAAAATCAATTCAAGCCAAATCAAATTCATATCTAGTCAAACTCTAAATGTGCATATTTGAAATGTTGGTGGTTAATATAGTAGCTTAGAGTTAACTCGATTCGAAAGCGATCGTTGGTGTCCGTGTCAGTTCTATTCGAACGCGTATTTTTGCACTAGATTCATTAAAACCAAACAGTTGACCTTATACTTTTTGGTTTTTGTCGTTCAAAGTATATTTTGTAGGAGTTCCTACACCATCTTTGTGTTCTCTTTGTTAATTTTCCCTGAATAGAGATGTTATTCACGAGGATCACATTCAACTCTCCACCTGTAAAGGTCATATGAATGAGTGTTAATTTTAAAATTTTTAATGGAATTTATGTAAAAATACACATACTAAAAGAAGTCCAATAACACGAACAAGGAACATAAAGCTAAATCTTTGTTTTCCACAAGGAAATGAAGTTGAAATTATATTCCTGTAACAACTTTCAAGAATTTGTCAATAACATTTCATATATAACACTGATTTGGTCACCAAAATGAAACTATTACAAATAGAACTGTGTAAAATATGAAAAAGAAGCATCCAAAATACCTTACTGCAAACATGAAGTAGATTTATTCTTAATTCAAAACAGAAAATAAAGCGAAGAACATGACACACGGGTTAAAACCACATTACTGCAGTCTGCAAGATCGTCTTTCCTGCCCTCCAAGACAGCAACTTACCTGCAAACATAAATATAATGGTTGAAAAAAGAATACGTAAAACTCTCAAATACGCAAATGGTAAATGAATATAACCTTAGATATCAGTAAGTGCTTTTCGTATGTACCAACATCTTCGTATACTTTTTCATGCATTTCTTGATCTGCATAGTAGATCAATGACTTAGAAAATTACATGAATTCATGCATTTCTTGATCTGCATAGTAGATCAATGACTTAGATTAAAAAGAATGACAGGTGATAATAAACAAAACATGATGAATTACTAAAATATGGTTATAATAAAATAACCATATTTAGCAACACATGAGATTTTTTCCAAAAATTAACTTTGTAAAACGACACTATGAAATTCAAACTGTTCATGAACCAGAAAGTTTATCAAGTTGTGCCGCTTGCTAACTAACTAACCTTACAACACACAAAGAGTTTATATTTAGCAATCTGTAAGAAACTTGAGCTGCGAATTACATGAACAAAACTCAAGTCAGCATGTTTATCATAGACAAACATATATGACGTGAAAAAATATTGGATAAAGAAAGAAAGAATCGACTTTTTATATTTTAACAAAACAGATAAATTATCACCAACAAGTTGAATATACCATTAACAAACAAAAAAAAAAAAAAGGCTAAACAGATGAACAAAAATAAATACAACAAACCTGGGAAACAACAACATATATAGTTTAACTGATGAACAACATTTGTTTCTTGTATAGGTTCCTAACATAATATATGCTTACCGATATACACATACACACATCATATACAAACATAAACACCACGTGCCTGGGCATAAAAACAAGAAATGAAAAAAAGCTAAATAATGAGGCTAACATAAAAATAATTTAAACAACAAACAAATTGAATACAATGATCGATCAACGGAATCTATATTTATTATACTGTGAAGTTTCAACATAAAGCATAAGACAAATAGAACCCAATAGCACGATCCTGAAGCCCTTAACCAAAATATGTGAAGTTGAATATAATAAAAAATAAATTAGAGCAAACACATAAAAAGTTTTACCTTGGAATATGAAGACCACACCATCAAGCAATCTTCTTCCCATCTATCCATCAAGGATTACGAAGGAGCGGGGAATGATCTCCCTCGAAGCTCTTGACCGATCCATTCGAAACAACAAACAATTAAAAAAATATTGAAAAATTGAAACAATATGAAACACGAAAAGAAACGTAAAAATAATCGATTTTCAAGGAAATCGCACGCATGAGAATAGATAAAATAAATAAATAAATAAATAAAAAGAATGCTGTGAAGATGTGGGTGAAATAGGGACGAAAATACCTGACAATTGAGGCACACAACGTCGTTCTGAGGTCCATCAAAACGACGTCATTCGGGATTAAATAGAATCAAAACAACGTCATTTCACTCTAAGCCATATGACGTCGTTTTTGAAACCACAAAGGCAGCATTTTCAATTGAGCTGGACAAGTTTCATACAGGGAAGGGCAGCACTTCTTTTATATAAGCATAAGAGAATGATTTGTGCAAGTGCTTTCTTTTAAAATTTGATATCCTTGTGCATTCACCTTTGGAAGATTAGTCTTCGTTGTAACAAAGAAATGTCAACTTTA